CCGGTACATATATGAAAAGTTTTGTTAGGATTGCAGTATACCGTAATAACTGCGTTTTTTTTTATTTATTAATCGGTGCATATTACTATCTAAATAAAATCAACAGCATTTTAGTCTATCGATCAGAAAGAAACATTTATTTATTATATTAAATTATATGAAAGGGATATTTACCATGAAGTAGGAAATAAAATGTCATCACACAAAATTATTATTTTAATACCGAAAGAAAATTTGTAAAAAATCATAATGCTGTCAAAATGTTATGGAACAGACGATATTTTGCTATGTTTTTCATTTTTAATCTTTACTAAAATCAGTCAAAGCCTATAAAGAAAGAGATCATTAAGATAAAAGTTAGAAATTTTGCATAATTTACCGATTAAAAAGATCAATACAAAGTAAAATGTTTTCTCTTCAAATTTTTGAAGAGTAATTGCCCTGTTTCTCACAGAAGTCAATTGGTCTCAAGTTTTTGCTCTGGTAGAACAGTAGAAATATCTCATTGTAGCAGGGAAAAATGTTGGAGAAGGATAGTAGCAAAGAGGTGTAGTAAAATACTTAATGACTGCTCCAAGATGCCTGCTACCTTGTCCAGAATCCTTAGCCCTACAACTAATATTAAAGGTAGAAATAGAAAAAAAATGTCTAGTTCATTCGGATAGCTTTTGTATGTACATGTATGAACTAAAATCAAAGTACTGGCGTAGATAGTCAGGTGACGATCTATAGCTATAAGTGGACATGTTGTAACAGTCCACTGAAAGCGTGTGCCACACTGTTACTATACACATCTCAAACGGGGATTTCACGTCATCAAACATGACAAAAGTCTGATACTAACTGCGGAAGAACGTGTGAAAACAGGAAAGTATATTTTGAAGAGAAACAGACACTTCTCCGGAGAAAGGGGACACATCAGAGCCGGATTGGCGTCAGAGGAAGAATACTGGAAGGAAACAAGAACATGTTTCAGCAGGTCGAGGGATGTCAAACATCTTTGAAGCCTTCTAATTTTACATCCATACATCCATTCAGAATCACTTATGATAATTTTACAAACTTATTTGATGTATCTTTATCAAATTTAAATTATATATATATATATATATATATATATATATATATATATATATATATATATATATATATATATATATATATATATAATCCTGATTTCTGGGTTAGGGGACCAATGCCATGAAATCTGGCTTAAGTAGACAAAATTTATCTTTTTCCCCTATGCTTTGAAATAAAAACCAAATGCATTTTTGTTGGTACTTGGGCTTATTAATTACCATTTTAACGCTAAATTTTACAGAAAACTTGTAGGTAAAAATATACAAAAAAATTGGTCTCCCTAATATTTTGTAACCCTTTCACGTGAGTTAAGGTGACCAGTGTATATTTTCGTAAGTACTAAATCTGGCTTAGGTGGACATTTTTTTTTTCTTACAGTTGTAAGGTTATAGTGAACTAAAATTTAACAGAGAATAGTTAAATGATTCAATTTAAGAATAATATACCGTGGCAGCACAAAATACTTGAAATCTTGCAAGGCACGATAAACAGGAACGCCAGTTACAATATGTACAGCTTCTTGCTGAAGTTTATCAGGCCTTTCAGGGCAGCTGCGGAGATGCTGTTCCATGCTTCTAATGCATATTCCAAAAGTGGTATCGGTCTTACATGTGTAAACGTAATACTAGAATACATTTAAGCTAAGAAGTCACGATACGTAAACCTTTTAATTTACGAAAAACTGCAATTTCTTTGGAAGCCTTTTGTATAATACTGTCAGTGTGGTTTTTCCACTCCCCAGGGTTTGAGAATGTAAGTCTAAGATGATAGTGACCAAGAGAAGGATCGATTTGCTGATTATTCAACACTAAGTGCAATTATATATTTTATCTTCATTGCTGAAAAATATTAATAATTTTAGCTTGGTAATTGGGATTAAATTTCACAAGTCGTTTTTAGCCATTCTTCATTTATAAGTCGTGATTTCTCAGCCTTTCTAAGTTCTGCACGTTTTGAAAGGTGTTTGACACGAACATGCATCATATGACAATATCCTAGAGGTACCCAATAGACCACCTGGTAGGTCTTGTATATCAAGTAAGAAAAGTTGAAGTCCAAGAATAGAGCCCTGGGGAACTCCAGCCTCCGTCCTTCTCACTAAATATACTGAAAATTTATTTTCGATCTGTTGCGATTGATTGAAAAGATAATTAGTCAACAAGGTACCAGGGTAAGAACTTCACCCGCAAATCTATGCTGTCTCTTGATCTTTTAAATAAACCGTATTGAATGTCTTGCTGTTATCACAAAATGCAAAACAAGTTAATTCGAATTCTTTATTGTTTAACACAAACCATTTATTATGATAAATTTCTTTTAACTGCGTGACTGTTTAATGATTTCTTAAAAACCCACATAGGCGCGTAGCTGCCTATACGCAAATATGCAAGTGGATACACATAATTGTAAAAAATAAACAAATAAATATAATAGATGAATAAATAAATAAAATCTATGGGAGAGAGAGAGAGAGTTATTCGAAGAAAAAATCTCAGTACCATCCAACAAATATTCGGATTTCTAATTATTTTGTGTCATACTGCTGAAGAGCGCTTTGAATTTTATATAATCATTACTATATAATAAAATTTGAAGTCCTTTATTAAATCATTGCCAAATTTAAATAAAGCATTCATGAACTTGTATTCGTTCTTTGATACATTGATAATTTTTGATATTTTTTAAAGATCTTTGAAAAATAAAATTTCAGACACATCCTTGAATGTCATGATCTACTACATGTAGTATATGATTTAAAATACGATATTTTTTGTTAATAATTAACATTAAGTATACAAGTTGTTGAACGATAGAAAAGAGTATGATACCAAATATCGATTAGATATTTAGCCTAAACTACATGTACACTAAGTTTCCGTAGAAGTATTAACTTTGCGTTAAAACAATAAATATTATGTCTTCTATTTCTTAACAAAAGATAAATGACATAATTTTTATTTTGCAAGAAAATGAATGATATACATGTATTTGGTAAAACTCAGAAACTTCTGGGCCCTCACCAGCAGGCATGTAGTATGGGAGGGGGGGGAGGGGGGGGGGGAGGGTTCCCTGCCTATTCTTTTCCAAACCTAACTTTTGACTATTGAAAATGTTCACTGAAAGGGTGGTTGCCCCCATCCACTTTTTGTTGTAGCATAGTTAAACCATGCTAATTTGATAATATTTTTAATATAGTTTTTTGTGAAAACTGGAAATTAACCCCCACCCCACCCCCGTCGTCCTCTTCGTATACTTCACTTTTATTTGGCTACGCACCTGCCATAATGTAGTTTGTATAACAATTTACAAAGTATTTGAACATTATATTCTTTCAAAGATTTTTCCTATGCAGCATAATAAGGATACCGGTATGTAATTAACTTGATGAATTTGTTTTAAAGACAGAAATTACATGAGTATGTTTCCAAACACCAGGGAATTGTCCGATACGCAAAAATGTTTCAAATAAAATTTTTAGCAAAACTGCAATTTTATTTCTAGTTTTTAAAAACAAAATATGGCTGAATATGTCGAGAAAAGGCTTTTAGGGATCTAAAATTTTAATGTCAATAGTTTGATACACACAAATAACTTTTTAAAAATCGTGGAGCGATGACCTGGAGATAGCAAATGTATAGAAAAACGTGTGTAAATAAAATTTTGTAACAAATTCAAGGTAAATTTTAGTAAAACAACACACAATATCTGGAAAAAAAATTCCCTTTCCTATATCCAAAGAACCCAATTCAACAGTACGTGCTGAATCTAATTCAAAAGCGCTATTGGTCTTTATAATTTTGAAATGTATAATATATAATAATGGGTATTTTTAGAGGTACCAATTATTTAACAGTTGCAAATAGTAGTTTCACATGCGCTAGTTTACTTATGGGCCCCCCATAAGTAAACTAAGTTAAAAATGGCCTAGCGGTTCCTGAGAAGTCGAATGTGAAAAGTTTACAGACAAGTGGATAGTCAGATGGGCAGACACTGGACAACAGGTGATCATAAAAGCTCACTTGAGCTTTCAGCTCATGTGAGATAAAAATCATTAAAGCTCACTTAAACTCATAAATTTTTTTAAAAAGAAAAATGCCACTGTCATCACAAAATTTGGGGCACAAATTTTGATTTTACTCTACAACTTTGCAATTTTTAATGTCAACTTCAGATCATATGGTCAGCTGTATAATGTACATCTATATAATTACAAAATTCTCTTGGTCCTTTCCAACATACATCTATCTATATTAGTTGATAAACCATTTGAAATTTGCATTCACATGTTGATTAAAATAGACTATTACATGTCTCTAGCAGGCCCGTAGAATGCGGGGGGTGGGGGTGGGGGTTATAGTATTTTGCTATAGTAAGTTTCCCTTTAGATGCTGAATGCCCCCCCCCCCCTCCACTTTTTGATGTTGTAAGGTCCAGCACTGGCAAATTCCAGGATTTGGACAGTAAATCACCTTTTCTTTTTTGCTTGTCAGATAATTTCGGGAAGTCCCCCCCCCCCCCCACTTTTGGTCAGTTTGGTTTTTTTTTTCTTTTGAAACTGTTGCTATGAGCCTGCTCTAGATAACTCACGAAAACAAAGAGTCAAATAATAGTTTTTAACCTTTATTCATTTGATCTAAAATTGACAGGTTAACGAAATAATAATATAGTACATGTACCAAAACTGAAAAAAATAATTCTTGTCTTTTGCCACCACAGTATTTTTAAGGTCATATGCAATGTACATGCACTTTACAGTGAACCTTCCAACTGATAATTTTCAGAGAAAATATAATTGAAAATCATGATACCATTAGGTGTTCTTTGACAAAAAAATCAGCATACATTACATGTATCAGGAGTTTTGAAAAAATATCAAATGATGAAAACCCTTGCTTTTTTTAAAAGAAAAATCCCCCCCCCCCCCCAAAAAAAAATGTTTTATGTGGTATTTTCTTCAAAATTTGATTCAGATAAGGTGTGCAAGCATTACCAGGTATCATAAAATTGCACAAAGATCTTTCAAATACTGGATTTCTTAAATTATAGAGAGAATAAGAAAATATAGTTCAAACTATACTGCGCATATCCTTAAGCCATATCATGTTAAAGACATGAAAGTCAAACACAAACTTCAGCAAACAGGAAGTCTGTGAGCCAATGCTCACTAGTAATACCCCCGCTCTGATGTGAATATACACTCTCATGAATCCCACAATATGGCATGCCTTGTCAAAGAGAGTGTCAAAATTTCAAGCATCTTTGATGAGTAGTTGCTGAGAAAACTGCGACAAAAAATTGTTACAGACAGACACACAAGGGTAAATGAGTATACCCCCCTACTTCAGAGTGGGGGTATAATTATAACAACTGTCGCTTACTACTGCAAATGATCAATAAAAGATCTCTCATTACAAATTTTACCTGTTATTAATCTACAAAAATTTTCTTGATTAATATCTTTTAAAAAATAATTTTTATATAATTTCACATCTACATCCCTACTGATAAAAAAGCTTCCAGACATTGAAAGTTGCTATTCAAATTCATAATAAAGTTGTTGAATAAAATCCACATATTCCTGGTACTTGACAACAGATAGCTTGAAATGGACAAAGTCTTTTCACATCCTCTGTTTCTCAAATGCTTTTCCAAATTAAATAAATAACTTTTACTTTATAATATTTACAGAGTACTGTGACTGAATGTCTTGAATTTAAACACTCTTTTTGAAGTGTATCTCTCAAAGGTTGGCAGCCTTGATCTGTAAAAAAAAAAAGAAAAGAAAAATCTCTAGTAATCTCTAAAACTTAGAACAATCATAATTGAAAAATTTACTTTGCTATAAAATAATTACAAAATAACTTATGCACATGTATAAAAAAACAAATCTCCCTAAATGACACATTTCTTAACCAACATAAAATCTTAAATGAATGGAATCTTTGATAATGATGTTCAACACACTCAGTTGTCAAAGCTGAATTAAGCATCTAAGTTAAAAAAAAAAATCAAGGCTTAAATAGTACATGCAGGATCATATGATCCTGTCCACAAGTTTCGATGAACTAAAGTAGATGTTAACATTCAGTTGAAGTTACCCCAACATATGTACGTATTTTTTTAAATCAAGAACACAGTCAATGTCAGCTATTTAACATAGAGAAATAAAATTGTTTATCTAGATGCACCCCCTTTCTTCTCTTATGTAGATTTTCCTTATATACATGTATATGCATACAAGTTATTAATCCTAAATCACTTTTTGACCCGAGAACAGCTGCAAGATAATTTTCAATAGGTTGCTTCCCCTTATGTGCATGTGCTCCTTTTCATGAAGTTTTCTTTAGTTAAATTTCTCAAGATTTTTCAGATTAATTTTTTGGTTAACAAATAGTACTGTGTCATACAAAACTCACAACTCCTCTCATATTTTACCTTATCTTCCTTTTGTTAACAAAATCCACTTTTCCAACATCTCTCTCTGCAGTGAGTCTATCATTAAGTCATTAACTTGTCTTGTCTCCAATACAAAAGTTTTCCTACACAACATGTATATAAAAAAAATAACAACCTTCATACATGTAAGTTGATATGAAAATATTAAATGTACATACATTGTAATTTATTGAAAAAAAAAATTCTAACCTGGACAACTTTTAGCTTGGTTGGCATTGTTATCATCTCTGTTGGCATAATGTAATCTGAACTTTCTAATTTACCCTTCTATCAGGTTGCTATAGTTGCTCGACACATACCAATTTTTTATCCATTTCCTGAAAAAAATGAAATTCTAATTTACTATGTGTATTAAAATGTTATTCCTTTTAAAAAGAAACTTACACTAGTGATTCAGGGGACCTAGGTTCAAATCCTGGTTTGGTCCATCCCATATTTATTTGGTGCCACTGATCACCCCTCGACTTGCAGGTAAAAGGCTTGCCAGGGGTAAAAAAAACTTGAGTTGTGTCTTCAAGGGCAAATACAATTTAAGGAGGGAGGAATTTGGCGATCAGACAGGCTTGATCCCCATCGCCAGATCACTCAGTTAATAAACATGCTAAAGCACCTGATTAGTGATACAGAGGGCTGGGTTCAAATCCTGTTCTTGCTTATGCAGCATTTTCCTGTTACACACCTAATGTCAATGGCAGAGAAATTTAAGAACTTTCCTGTCATCAATAGACAAATATTTTGGTGACTAATTGTCTGAGTTCAGCTATATGGTATATGTTAAATTAAACTTTTTACCTCAAAGGCTAAGAACATACAAATTACAGTTTTCTTAGAGACAGTATACTAGGCAATCTGGATACATTTCCTTTGTCTGACATGGAAAAAAACTCCCATATTCATGACAGGTTTTCTTAATTTTTCACTGAAAATAACAGCTTAAAATATGATTTTTTTAAATCTTGTTTACCTAAAAGTTATGCCCCAATACACCTTATTTGACCAAGTTATAGTCATTAAAGGAATCTATTTCTCAAATTAAAGAAACTGTAGGCTCCTTTCATTTACTAATTCTTGACCTTAAGAAAAAACTGCAACAAATATGTTTCAAAAATTGACAGAAAAAGCGATGTCGGCCATCCGTATGGAACAGCGTCCAATCATAAAATTATGTATTATCTAAAATATGGTTGAAACGATGTCAGAGACAAACTAATTATTCATTGACAAACATCTAAAAATTATTAGAATATATTTAGGTCATTGATTTGAAATTGGTATATATGATTTTTCAAAGGAGAGTACAATTTGAAAGACAGTACAAAAAGTGGAAAACTACTGTTACTGTTATTTGATGAAAATAAAATTATGACATGATTATATAATAGTGTTGTAATTTGCATGCACTATGCCTAAATAGTAGTCAGGGTTTGACACATGGTGCACGAGCCGGAGGCGAGTGCACTATGTGTCAAACCCTGACTACTATTTAGGCATAGTGCATGCAAAGTACAACACTATTGTTATTATTATGCTGACTGCTGTATAAAAACGACAACATCTTCTCCATTTCCAATGTTTCATCACTTCTTACATTCATGTTAGTACACCCCTATCATGACGTCACATTGTGCTACATGTACATTATCTTTTTTCTTTAATTTTGAATGATCCATGTACAGATACATGTAGTTTCAGAGAATTTTAGTTGAGTGAAGGGGAAAAAATTGCAAGAAACTATTTTAGAAAATTAATTTGTTTATTTTTTTTTCTTTAAGTGTAAAATATTTGAAACTAAGTTTATTTATATTATAATACAGTGCTTTAGACAATGTCGTCTGTGGCGTAATCGGTAGCGAGTCAGACTGATGATGTCGGGGTCGTGAGTTCGATCCATGGCGTGGGAGCTGTTCGATTTTTTTCAGAAAAAGAAGCCACGCACTAGCTATTTCGGCATAGTATGTTTACGATATATAATTCCTTAGAACACTATGCGAAAATAGTTGGGTATTGATTATATAGAGACAAACTGACAGGAAGCATAATAATGTGTAATAAATAAAACGCAACATCGGACTGGGCTCTGCAGCTATATACAGGAAGTGTGCATACTGATGATACTCTTAAATTATTGTTTATTGAATTTTAAAAATTTACTCCATTATGGTCTATATGTAAATATCACACACACACTAGCAGTGCATGTGGCTAAATCAAGAAAAAATTGTATGTGCACCACAAATACTTGATAATCATAGGTAATAAGAGATAACAGAGCTCACCTCAACAAATGTTGTCTTTAAGTAAGGCAAAGTCCCACACTAAACTAATAATCTAGAAGTCTGCATCCCTACATGTAACATTTATGCAATTTTAGTCTAATAGGGCTTGCAGTTACTTGGGAATGGACTTACCTAAAAAATTTAAACTAGTCACTCATCCAGAAAATGTAAGTCAAATCCACCATCTGAAGCAAGTTTGAGAGTGTTTATCCCATGATGCATCATCATGCAAGTTTGGTCCAGATTGCCCTTATAATTTCTTGGTAATGGACCTGTTAAAAATCTTTAAACCTGGTCACTTGTCTGGAAAATGTAGGTCAGATCCAACATCTGAAGCAAGTCCAGTAATGTGCATCCTTAGATGTATCATCCATGCAAGTTTGGTTAACACCAGGCTTATAGTTACTATGAAATGAAATCTGCTCCAAAAACTTTATCCTGGTCACTCATCCGGAAGGAAAATGTAGGTCATATTCAGCATCTGAAGGAAGTCAAGTATAGTGTGCATCCTAAGATGTATCATTTGTACAAGTTTGTTCAACCTAGGGCTTATAGTTACTTGGAAATGAAACCTGCTTAAAAAACTTTAATCTGGTCACTCATCTGGAAAATGTAGGTCAGATCCAGTAATTGAAGCAAGTCCGGTAGTGTGCATCCTTATATGTATTATCCATGCAAGTCTGGTCAATATAGGGCTCATAGTTACTTGGAAATGCTCCTTTTAGCTGAATTTGCAGCATCTGAAATCTTGACTGGTATAATGAAACATACTAGAAGCATCCTTCATGCATCTCTGATTAATATAGGGCATAGAAGTACAGCTAACCTTCTGTTTTTTGAACACGGATATATCTCAAATACCATGGATATGTCGAAGTTATATTTTGAAGTCCCATCTGCTTATTCCTTAAGTATTTTACCCTGAATATCTTAAATCCTTGGTTATCTCAAAGTATTTTCTTTGTCCCTTTGAGTTCGAGATAACGAGGTTTGACTGTACTTGAAAAGAAATCTGCTCCAAAAACTTTAACCTGGGATGCGGACGCCTGCACTGACGGTATTACATAAGCTCCCCAACTTCGTTGAGGTGAGCTAAAAATTCAAAATCCATATTCTTGACATTATCATGAAACTAACTTAATGTCATACTGGGCTGTGCAGCTTGTATATACAATCTATTCACACCTATAATTTTTGTGAAATAGTGTATATTGTTTAATTTTTATATATTTACTAAATCATGGTCTATATTAAAATTATGTTGTAAACATTTGGCAGAGTGGTCAATATCAAGAAAATTATGGCATTTGTCTAAGAACTTTCTGGACAACCCTCATACAAGTACTCGTTTAACTCAAAAATCTTTATTAAGGTCATGAAATACCCAATTTTCATCTAGAATGTCACAATGATCTGCAAAACTCAAAAGGAAAAAAATTGGTGGTACAATTTGGTGAATGAAAATGTATCAAACAAAAATCTAGCATAAAACCCATTATTAAGGTGACCAGAGATATATATATGATCCTTGAACTTTAAAATCTTTATTAAGGTGACCAGGTATTCAGGTTTGTCCATAAGAACTGAAATAGAAAGGGGACATTTCAAAAGTGGAAGGGTGTCTTGGATTCCTCCTCTAGTGGGGTTTGAGGAAGCAATGCCAGAATGACAGGGGGATTAAGTAATTACAGATGGGGAATTTCCCTGGCCCCCACATCTTGAGCACAACCTTGGATATTCTATATTTAAGCATGTAAAACATTAATCAATTACATTTAAGCAATGATTCCTCACTTTTTCTTAAAACTGATGAATAAACTAATCCTATAAATCAAAAATCTAGCTTACATGCATGAAACTATCATTAAAGCTGACATGAATTCTTAAAAGCACAACATTTGCATCAATGTATGACTTGTTTCATACCAACTAGCCGTTTTCTGCCATATTTCTTTCAGATACCTTGTGTTATTGTAACAATATATACCCCAATGCCTTTGTTACACTTGAGTGAGTTTTTGGTTTGGCTATCGATGCGTGCACATCTCCGACAGTAAAGTATCTGGGAACACATGAATTGATGAAAACATTTCAAAACCACAGCAGATATAAAAACAGTCATAAAGATATTTATAAGTATCGTTTTGAATAATATAAATGCAAGTTTGGAAGAAAAAAACATAGTTGTGCATGTTTTTTAAAAGCATGCCAATATACAGATATATAGCATAATTAACTTGGAATAATTCACAGTAAAAATTGTACAAACAATTTGCAATTATCTATTGTAAGAATGGAACAAACAACCAGCATATTTGATATGCATGTCCATATGCAAATATAATGGTGCATACCGAGAGAACGCGTCGAACGCTGTAAACTTATTCATACCTGGAAAATAGACCACTGTACCCGTTCGAAGATGTGCACATGCCGAGTGATTTACACCTTGTATTTCATTGAAATATGCATCGCAGAAAAATGTAATAAACTCTATAAATACTCAACAGTAAAGATGTTGTCATGTCATCATACAGCCTAGCACTCAAATACACTTAGTCCGTGCTGATCAGATTTTGGTCAGCTAGGGAAAATATCAAAAGTGAGAAGGGGAATTAGTATTTACGCGACTGGATAAAAAATAAAAAAATCATTAAAAAAAAGTCTGATAGCTGTTCATGAAGTGAAACTGAAAATTGTCTAGATCTAATAAATATACAAACATTCTTTGTGTGTTATATTATATTGCATTACAGGCTTCATATATAATTTTTTAATTATGAAACAAGTCCTACATTGATGCAAATGTTGCGCTTTTAAGAATTCATGTCAGCTTTAATGATAGCTTCATGCATGTAAGCCAGATTTTCGTAATTATCTAAAAACGAAACTGAGTAGTTTGGTGTGAGAAAATTATTTAGAACACAACATCAAAGCATCTAACCAAAACACAAATTAACAAATATACACACATGTGGGGAGAAGAGGGGGGAAATACTCCCTTTTTTGAGAGTGTCTTTCAGACACGTAGCATTGTTTTTGAAAGGGGACAGCCGGAAGAAATAATTGACACTTTACTAAAAAATCTTTGACAAGCTAAAAAAATGCTCTGGAAAAATGGGAGGGGGCATCCCCAATCCCCGCGTTCTACAGGCCTGTCTTTAATGGTTAATTTTGTAAGGATTTTTTTTTTAAAGAATGGCTGGTTCTCCCCACTCTCATCCAACGATACTGTATTGAATACTCAAATATTTTTCTTCTGAAAATGATAGTATGAATGGAATCTGTCCTCCCCCTGACTACGGATTTTTTTCAATCCCTTTTTTCCTTTTTCATTTTTCCCCCAAGTATTTCGGCATTTTTCTGAACCCCTCCAAATTTTTAAGTGCCGAAAGTTTTGTTTTTGTTTTGGTTTTTTTGGCTTATCAATCATTTTACTGCCCCCTGCTCCCCATCGCATATACACATTTTGAGAAACAGTGCTACGTGCCTGTTTTATATGTATGTATAGGAAGCCCATCCAGTTTGAAAATTTTCCCTAGGTAGTATAAAATTTGATACCTATACAATTTCTTGTATTTTAAGAGAATCTGTAAGGATTACTTGAAACCCTACCTGCAAGATTGTGGATAAATACTTTTTTGCATTTTCATACAAGTATACACACACACATTCTCTCTCTCTCTCTCCCTCTCGTGTAAGCATACATGAGTGGTTTCAAGAATCTCCTCACTTTACATTTGGGTACACGGTTAGAACTATTTCAATTACCAATGTTACTTTCATATATACTAGGGATGTCAATTTTATTCGAACAGCTTAGTCGAATAGTTGGAGGCTTTAGTCTAATGATAGTCGAATATTCGTTGAAATTTAAATTAATTTTTCATGTCGTTTTCACTATTTGTCTTTTATAGACTAGTTGTACAATATTTAACCTACGCTATCACCATTATACAACGAATTTCTGATTTGTAAACATTTACGTAGTACAATAAATACTATACATCTACATTTATCCAATGCATTTGATTTCAAAATTAATATAATATTTACTGCACATTTTATCTAAATGCAGGATATCAAATGCTTGCATTTGTCCTTTCTTGTCATAATGAGACTACATGTACCCGTTAATTGAAGCCATTTCTACGTGTCGTGTCAGTGACCTTTGACTGGTAAACAATTAAAGCGTGCCTCTAATAAAAACAGAGAGAACTTTTAATTATGAGATTTTGTGCAAATTATCAATACAATCTTAACAAGAGGCCCAGGGGCCACATCGCTCACCTGAGCACTATGGCTAGGAAAAAGCAGAAATCAGTTCAGTCTTGAAAGGTTGAAAAGTTTAAATATAAAAGTGGTTTGGGGGGGGGGGGGGGGAAGAATTGAACAAATTTGAATGTACATTACCTGAGGATGCTTCCAATTAAATATGACCAATCATGGCTTTGCTGTTCTTGAGTAGAAGATTTTTACAGATTTTTCCTATGTATTCCTATGTAAAACTTTGATAACCCATTGTGGCCCCACCCTACCCCCAGGGGTCATGATTTGAACAAACTTGAACCAATATCAGCTGAGGATGCTTCCAAAGAAATATGACCAATCAAAAGTTTGCTGTTCTCGAGAAGAAGATTTTTGAAGATTTTTCCTATATACTCCTATGTAAAACTTTGATCGTCCATTGTGGCCCAACCCTATCCCCGGGGGTCATGATTTGAACACTACCTGAGGATGCTCCATTGTAAATATGACCAGTCATAGCTTTGCTGTTCTTGAGAATAAGATTTTTGAAGATTTTTCCTATATATTCCTACGTAAAACTTTGATCGTCCATTGTGGCCCCACCCTACCCCCAGGGGTCATGATTTGAACAAACTCGAATCTACACCACCTGATTATGCTTCCAAATAAATATGACCAATCAAAAGTTGGCTGTTCTCGAGAAGAAGATTTTTGAATATTTTTCCTATATACTCCTATTTAAAACTTTGATCATCCATTGTGGCCCCACCCAACCCCCGGGGGTCATGATTTGAACAAATTTGAATCTACACCACCTACAGATGCTTCCATATAAATATTACTAATCATAGCTTTGCTGTTTTTGAGAAGAAGATTTTTGAAGATTTTTCCTATATACTTTTATGTTAATTAAAACTTTAATCTTCCATTGTGGCCCCACCCTACCCCGGGGTCATGATTTGAACAAACTTGAACCAATATCACCTGAGGATGCTTCCATATAAATATGACCAATCATAGCTTTGCTGTTCTTGAGAAGATTTTTGAAGATTTTTCCTATATACACCTAATAGATGTTAAACTTTGATCCTCCATTGTGACCCCACCCTACCCCTGGGGGTCATGATTTCATGTCAGCTTTAAGGGGACCAGAGATATATGTATGATCCTTGAAATTTAAAATAATTATTGAGGTGACCAGGTATTCAGGGTTATCCATAAGAAATGAAATAGAAATGGGACATTTTAAAAGTAGAAGGGTGTCTTGGATTCCTCTAGCTATGCTAAAGGGGGCTGAGGGGGGAATGCCAGAATAACAGGGGGATTATGTCATTACAGGTATGAAAATTCTCAGATATTATAAAGTTAAGCAACACATTTCCTTACTACAGGCAACTCCAAATGGCTCAAACTTCGATCTTTCGACGTTCTTGATTGCTTGAAATATTAGCCTTGGGTCTAGTAGCCCTTTTCACAAAAAAACTTAAGTTTTTGCGTAAGATTTTAACTTAAGAATTTCTTACGACAAGAACACATTCGTAGCAGATTGAAGTTAAGATTTTATTTACGACAGACTTCATCCCTAGCAACGACTTCAATATGCTTTATAATCCTTAAATAAGTGGGTGAAAATAAAAATAAAACTTAGTTTTTAACATTTATCAGCATAACAAACATTATTGACAACAAATATCGAATGCAATCGTTTGTGAAGCAAGGAAGTTTAAAATCTATGTCACAATCAAAAGTCTGACGTAAAAGAAGGTCATAAGTGAAACTTACATCGTAAATATTTTGTAGTGTAATTCACTTAAATTTTTGACAATGATTGTGAAAAAAATATAAAATATTATTGTAAGTTGCTTTACAAAGTTCAATTTAATGTGTATTTTGGTTTTTGCGGTTATATTTTTACAATAAAATCATTTTTAAAATACTTAAGAGAGGGTTGGGGCTCTCGTAAAGTTATGACAGATTTTGCACTTACGACTTTCTTAAGAATTTTTGTAAAAACGATTTTTATCATAAGTTTTCACTTAAGATAAAAATATGTTGTAAGATTTTTTGTGAAAAGATCCACAGATTTTTTCCCTATATAACTTAGCAAATTTTCTCTTGATCTCTTAATTCTCAATCTCTCAAAACCCTCAAAGTTAAAATGCAGACCCGCTGTGCATAATCTATTGTATTTTACCATTGATACCTCAAAGTGGATATGTGTACAGCGTTACATAATTAACAACTTTACCTTCACCTTTAGAATATATTTCTTTACAGTGTAACTAAAAAATCTTTAAGTGACCAGATTCTGAAATTCTTTCTACATGCAGTAAAACACGCTTATAGCTAACACACTTATAATGAATTGACTCTTAGAGCAAAGTGATTTTTATTCCCTGTGACTTTAAAATATATTGTAAACTTAATGGATATATAAACGAATTACACTTATAATGAAGCAAAATTTTCCATCCCTGGCACTTTGTTATAAGCATGTTTTACTGTAATTCTTACAAAATTTTGTGATAAAATATCAGGAAAAAGATGACTTTTGGTCACAAAACTCACCTGAATGGAATTGCATGCATAATTTTATTTTAAATTTCTTCAAAACTAAATATTCTAATGGTTTAATTTCATCAAACAAACAGCCCTAGGAATCAACACTTTAAATTACCTCAATTAAACACCAAATCCTCCTTCCATTCTCATAGTTGTACAACACTTCTTCATGTAAGTTCTTTCTTGTTAGCATGTATATGCAACTGTTTTCTTTTACCAAAACTTTTAATTCGATCCACTGATTGGTTTGTTTCATTTTCATTGTTGACATCTGTAGGGAAATAAAAGCTTCATAATTACAGGTATTTTAATCAAACTCAAAAGTACCTCTCTTAACAGATTATTAATCACTCTAAAATCTAAATGTTTTCCTTAACATGTAAATAAGTCATAACAAACACATTTTTAAAATATAAATACACATTTTTTTTTAATCTGTAACTTACTGTAGTAGAAAAGGAATGTATAAAGAAAATAAAAGGTTGGAATCGAACTAAGGACACCTGTTTCACTAATCAAATGTTCTAACCACTGAACTGTCAAGGCTGATTCATATAGTCTAAACTACTATTTTGTTCACTCCCTCAACAGTCTTTCATCTCAAGGACATGTAACAAGTTCACCTATCTGGAATTAATCACAAGCCCCCACCCCCACCCCACCTTTGTTTGTGAATAAGTCATAACAAACACATTTTTAAAATATAAATATACATTTTTTTTTAATCTGTAACCTACTGTAGTAGAAAAGGAATGTATAAAGAAAATAAAAGGTTGGAATCGAACTAAGGACACCTGTTTCACTAGTCAAATGTTCTAACCACTGAACTGTCAAGGCTGATTCATATAGTCTAAACTACTATTTTGTTCACTCCTTCAACAGTCTTTGATCTCAAAGACACGTAACAAGTTCACCTATCTGGAATTAATCACAAGCCCCCACCCCCACCCCCCCATCACACCTTTGTTTGAATTAAAGGAAGCTTTAAACACTGCTCACTGAAGATTTCTACATTTAGTATAGGTATCTCTCAATACCTCAAAGTATGCAGGACTGCAATCATGTGTTGTGGGTTTGTGTTCAGTAAAGTGTGCAGAGTTATGCCTAGGTCACATTTAAGCTGATGGTCAGGCAAATCAAATTTTTGTCGTATCGTCAGCTTAAAAACATGATCAGCCGACAGTAGTATCGAGCGACGTGGAGCAGTCACATTAATTCCTAAGAACACTGGTAATTTTCAAAATTTAGATAATTCTAAGTTGGCCAATAGTCGCCCAATCATCGTTCACTAAGCCACAGTTTGATTTTCACCATCAGCCAACATTTACAAAAACCCAATTCCAATAATGTTGACCCATCGACGACCGACTTTAAGAACTGTCTACCAATGTTCGGATGATGATTGAAGGTTGGTCGACAGACTATTGTACGACTGCTTCAATTGAAGGAATCGACCACCGATGCAGAGAAAATTATAACATGGCCCAACAGACACAAAATTAATAGGCTGACAAAAAAAAGAGGTCAAATTCGGGCAAGACAATGGCAGATGAATAGCTGACTGTTGCCTGAGAAGGTATTTTTGCCTCAAAAACTGTCACCCGTTGGTCTTTCTTGGAAATGTGACTGGGGTTTTTGAAAACTTGTAAACATTAAAACATAGACACTTCGAGGTATTGAGAGTAAATAACAACAGATTATGCATATCAAGACTGCATTTTGACTTGGAGGGATCATGGATTTCTGAATCAAGAGACTGAGAGTTCAAGAGATCAAACGTAAATTTGCTTAGTTATATAAGTAAAAATATCTTTGTAGTCACCTTTTCATCACCTGAAAGATTGGAATTTCCCTGTTAATTAACTACCATTTTGCTTTCTTCTTTGTTTCGTTCAAAATTCATTTAATTTTCCCTTTTTTCTCACCATTTTTGCAATGAGGTCAGTCATATTTGTTAAAGGATTTTGTGTCTAATACAAGGAGTAACATAACCACAATTCAGATCATAATAGAATTTGGCATACATATTACATTTAAGGAGGCTGGGGGGTCAACAAATTCAAGGTTAGAAACTCCTTAAAACTACAACTCGCAAATAATTGCGAGTACCAAGAAAGTGAACTCGCAATTTTATAAGACTACTCGCAATTTTCATATAAAGTTAAATTCATATAAATTAAATACATGTAACTTAAGGAAAAAGTAACTACTGTACAATACACAAAACACAACTACAGTGTGACTTTTACTTAAATTACCGATTTAAATCAAAGGCATTGTGTTCTGTCATATTATACAATTTTGCTACAATTTCAATGCAAAAAAAATCAACTCGCAAGTTTTTGCGAGTTACTTAATTTTTAACTCGCAATTGGGGAATTCTAACTCGCGTTTTGCGAGTTGTATATAGTGAATTTCGAACCCTGAAATTAACCACAAATTAACCACCAGATTTAACTTAATTTTTTCAGGGTTCGACACTAACCTTAGTCCGTTAGTCTCCGACTAATACATTTTCATTCGGACTAATAAAATATGTGGCTAATAAGTCCGAACGGACCAATAAAAATTTCTGAAAAACAATATCAATAAATTACCGATGTCCGATTCTCGACAACTTTTACTGGAAAACCCCGCGTGTATTTTTAGATTTCTAGCTTTTGGCGGGTAGTTACGCAATGCTGGGTCAATTTCGACTGATCGATATGAAGTATCAGGTTTTAGCAATCATGATTTAGTATGACACTTTTAAGAAAGATGTTGGACGTTTTGGATGTAATGTAAAGACAAAAAAAAAAAAAAAAAAAAAAAAAAAAGAGATCGGTAATACGATCGTATACTTGCTGATTGCGAGATTTCAATGAATATTTCACGTAAATACTTTGTTTATTTCAAAAAATAATACGTATATTAATTGTCACGTTAAATTAATGTTAAAAAACATTGATGTTTCTTTTTTTTTCCTCTTTTTTTTTTTTTTTTTTTTTTGACGGATTAATAAAATCGCGTGCGGACTAGTAAAAGTAATGAAGCACTAGTCCGGCTGGACTAAAGCCTTAAAAAGTTAGTGTCGAACCCTGTTTTTAGATATGGTATCTTAAGCTGTGAACTATCATTTGGCAAAGAAAAATTTAAAAAATTTTAGTTTTAAAATTTGATCATTTTCTATATCTTCATATGGAGCTCTTCTTCTAATGGAGATCAATATAGTCTAAAAATGGCCACAACCCCCCAGCCTCTTTAAATCTTCACATTTTGCTGCATGTTTATGACATCATGGTATGAAAATGAAGTCAATATGTTGATGACTTGTGTCAAAACCAGAAGTCTCTGATGAGACTGTAGCTCTGCTGGTTTGTACTTTAACAATTTTTTTTTTAAAATAAATAATTTTTAATTAGACAATTTCAATATTATTGTGTGTGTTAATTAATTTCACATGTTATAATGAATATTGGACCATAATCTGTCGTTGTAAGCTGGCAACAAAGAGAAAAGTATAAATTCGAAATGCAAGTCATGTACACAAAACGAAAGTAGGGTCCTGAATAAGTCCCGTGCATCTCGTTATATCCGGAGTCCACTGTACTGGGTTTCTGGTCTTTGTTATGAACTAAATTTTTGTTTTGTAATACAGAGGAATATGAATAGCAAGTTTAGTTATTACAGATCCAACCATATTTTCATTAATTTTGGGGATAAATGACTATTGGGAAAATTAACACATTCAATTGGGAAGAAAGGTACCTCTTTTGAATTAGGAATGGGGCCCTTGAATGGCCCTAATTATAGACAATTGAGAGCCCTAAGGCATCCAGGTGTGGTTCCCTGACAGCTTGGCGAAACGAATTGAATAACTATCCTACCCCCCCCCCCCCCCCCTTGGGATCCCTAATTCTAAATGTTATATGCAAAGCCAGCTGTTATAATACTGCTAATTTCTTTTCCAAAACTGGTTGTTTTACCATTACTTTCATCACCATGCCTCGAAGAAAAATCCAAAAAATTTCAAGAGTGAGAAAAATAAAAATTCTTTCCGATGGTCATGAACATACACCTGCCTACCAATACATAGCTATAAACATGTGGTAAGCACTTTTTATGGCTGTAATGTATTACCGAACATTTTCTAATGTAGTAGGTTATCATTACAGAAAAAGTTAAAACCTGTAGTTTTTAACACACTGAAATTGGATTCCACGTAAAAATACTAATTACAGTTTGTGTACACAATGTGGCATGATTATCTCGTGCAGAAAGACGATGGGATTAGTTAGTTACGCTTCATTGCAAATGATACCTGTGAAATTGATTTCAAATTAATGACATTGTTACATAATTTAGCTAATAAAAAAGAAATATCACCTCTTTACTTGACTACTGACGACATATTTATTATTTATTTGGCACATTATCAGGTCTGGACGATTTCCAAAAATGGAAGTCAAGAACGATAACTGAAAGTTGCCATAAGTATACATCATATACACGTAAATATTTTTCTGCCCAATCAGAACACAGCATTTTTACACATCCCAAAACATATTTCAAAGGGGTTAAAGTTAAAACTGAATATGTATCCAATATTCCACCATCTGCGCTCACCCAACGGTGATACATGTACTGTTAACATACAGGGGTTTTTCTAGGTCTTAAAATCAAGAGCCTGGGCTTTTCTATTTGGAAATAATAGCAAAATTTGGTTGTAATTAGCAGCAGGGACCTATATATTGTTAGTATATAGGTCCCTGTTAGCAGATTAGAGAAAATATCATATTTAACACTTTTTTTTTCTAAATGAATTCGAGTTTTTCTTCATTTGCAAGGTATTAATTGATTTATTTTACATTCAGTTAATCAGTTTATGGAGCATGCCTTTTAAATTTTTTTTAGCATCATTCCTGTTACATGTATACATGTTACTGAGTTCGACGGACATTATTCTAACCATACTTGTTTGTTTCGATTGTCTTGTGTGCAGGGGTGTGCAATTACCATCGCCCGACGCCCGGGGCTACCAATTTTAGAGATCGGGCTATCATAAATCTATACTGCATTAGCCCGTCGGGCTAGTAAACACTGGTAAATCTAAAACGAAAGTATACATATATTTACAGCGACTGAATTGATGTACGAATTAACCTTGTTGTAAAATCATAATCTTTAATTCGTTTTAACCTATATGTTTTGTGTGTTGCTATCGCCAGTCGTTTCAGTGACATAATAATTATAGCAGGGACCTAGTATATAGGTCCCTGATTATCATAGTCGATAAAAATAGGGAGAAAAAAGCGCAAACCATTATTTGTTTTATTTATTTCAACTTAAATGGTTTTTTTTTTTTAACCTTTTTGTTATACTTATACATGTATTGTTTTCGGTAGTTAATGGGCTAGTGACTGGCAACCTCGGGCTAGTAACTTTGTTACTGCCACTAGCCCGACGGGCTATACCGGCTAGTAACTATTTTTTGTAATTGCACACCCCTGCTGTGTGAGTTCTTACGTCCACTGTTCTTGGCAACTTAGCCCATCTTCCCGTTTCTGACCACTCCATATTGACTTCGGTACAAATTATGAGAGCAATGAATTCCTAATAACTTACCTTTTTTTTTTTTTTGGTTCTCTCCAAATCTTTGCATTTACTTAGGCGCCATATTGAGAACATTAAGAATTTCGAACCCGATCTAAATTCAACGGATTTCTCTAAAATCCATATCTTCTATAGGTAATTTTTAATAAAATTTTAAGCTCCTTCAAATTTTCATTAATCATATAAATCACATTTTTCCCATTATTTTGAGTACAACTGGAAGTACATGTTTCTCATTTATTCTCATTTATTCCTTGTAAATAAAATTTCACATCAAATATTTATCTTTGTTTTACTTTGTGTTGCTGGAATTCAGTTCAACCTGACTATCCCAAGAGCAGACTATTATCCCCTCTTAGGGTAGCAGTACAGTAGAATAGAGGGCCGTAGGAACAGAGAAGTGGTAATGGTGGGGAATGTTGGACACAAGCCCCCCCCCCCCCCCCTCCCCTCAAAAATATTATTTTTGAAACAGAGTAGATCATAATTCATTTGTTTAAAGTAACACTGCTAGACTTTCTTTATTTCATATGTGAAAAATGACTTCAAGGATGCACCAGAACCCACCAAAATGTATATTCATTCATTAATGATTTTAATTTAAGGATTGCACAGGATTGAGTCCTGGAAAAATCTTGTGGGTGGCATATGCCCCCCCCCCCCCCCCCCAAAAGGTATAAGTAACACAGGCACTTGATTCGATAAAAAAAAAATTAACCCATAGTATAATAATATTGCGTTATTACTATACTATGGGTTAAAAAATTTATTACTGAAACAAGTGCCTGTGATAAGTAAGTAGTAATTAAAAATACTAATAAAAGTACTTCATAACACACTAATTGGTACAGTGTGCCCCAAAGAGGCATATAAGTAAGAAAAAGTACAAGTAAACCGAATTTTATTAATACACCAATTAGCAGAGTTATTATACATGTAAGTACATGTATCATACAACAAAAATATGTATGTATACTTATCTTGAAGCTTTTTTGACATTTAAATCTTCTATTTAGAATTTTATTGATTTTTTTTTTAAATTGGGTAGTTGTGGTACACTACCCCCGTTTTATATCCTTTTTCTTTTGCTAATAAATACATTCTATCATTTCATATAAAGACTTCAAAATTATCTTTGGTAGACCCAGGATTTTTTAAAGGGGGGTTCAACAGGCTAATAATGGGGTCTGAGCCAGTGAGGGCCACCTTGTGGCCCCAGTGGGTAAAGGACAAAAGCCCCCTTAAGCTCCCAGGATTTGGGTCCTTTTTAAATCAGTTTTGTGAGTTGTGTTATGTATATTTTATGTATAACAAAAGCAATATCTAGCCAAAAAAAAAATGATTATTTCACCTTTACTAAATTTTGGCACACATGAGGGGGAAGGGATATATAGAAACTGTTTCAAGAACAGTTTTTTATGGTAATAGAAATTTCATATTCATCCAGGATTTTAAATTTAAAATATGAATAATAGATTTACCTCCTAAAATTATGTTTCTGGGGAACATAACAAATTTTATTTTAATGCTTTATAGGCAGTGAAAAGGAATTATACACTTAAAGACCTTGAAGACTCAGATTCATATTTGAGTTGTTATTAATATAATTATGATATATGCTGATAAAACAGATTATGACATAATATTAAAAAATAATATTTATACCTAAAAATTATCAAATGTAGTACCTTAGAAAATTACATGAATTAATAGCCAAATTATTGTTACTACAAAATAACATATCTTTACTTATAATATCTAAAATTATAGACAGAAACTTTTACATCATTGAAAACTGCAGAATAGAGTAAAAACCTCTGCAATACCTTAAATTCTTGAACATGTAATTGTAGAAGTAGTCTTTGACAATATATGACATTGTAAGTCTTGTTCAAATCTTAAACCAAATTTTACTCATTGTTCAAAAACTAAAGAGTGTCATAAAAGGAAGGAAGTGGTTTGTGTTGCATTAATTTTTGTAGAATCGTTTGTTATTGTATCTCAAAACACAAATCTCAGATTCTCGTACACAAGAACCCCCCCCCCCCCCGCGCTTACTATCAGCTTCTTTAAATAATGCGTCAATCATATCCATGTTTCGAACGTCAAACCATGAGCATCCACAAACTTAATAATTAATTAAAATAAATATTTGATGATTTTTAAAAAGATGTATCATTATGAATGAAAAGAAATTAAAAATGTGTATTCAGAATTTCCTCGACGTTCGCTGTAAGTCAATATTGACGCTATGCAAGCGCGTCGTATAAAAAAGGGGAAAATAATATACAAAAGACGTATAAAACATAAAAAAAACAGCTACAAATGATAGTAAGTAACAGATTTATACTTACGAAAAAGGATCCAAAGCACTTCGAGGCGTCTGCCATCGTCTTCTTTTCTGGTTCTCCAGGTCGACCGGAAACCAGGCAACTTATTGCCAGACAAACATGAGTCATTTGTAGACCATGAATTTTCGAAATTTTAAATACTGAACTCACGAATGAATGAAGGGTAAGAAAATATAGGAAATGATTAAACTAAATGGGATATTAATTAAAACTATTCATATATAGCGGATTTTGATTAATATTACACATTTTCTCTGGGCGACTTAATAGATATATATATTCCTATGAAAATATATGCCGGGTTATAAATAATTTAATTATTTCTCGCTATGCGAATAAAAAATGCAGAAATTATAATTGCATTGAAAAAAATAATTACGAAAGCGTCTTATTTCAGGACATCAGTCATCTTACCACAAAGTACACTGCCTTAATGATCAGTTAAAATATTAGGGAGACCGGAAAAAGTCTGCTTAATCCATCGGTGTCCCAGACCGATATATAAATGCTTAAGTGGGTTCCCTAACCAAGAAGTCCGGATTATATATATATATATATATATATTATATAAATAGTGCACGTTTTTGAGGGTAACAGTTGAAATTGACACCCCAAGGAAAACCATTGTCAACCGACGCGTCAGCGGAGGTTGACAATGGTTTTCCGAGGGGTGTCAATTTCAACTGTTACCCTCAAAAACGTGCACTATTTATTTTATTATACTGAATGTCTTATTGATTTCGGATGTCATAAAAAAAAATCGGAGATCGTCGTTAACTTCACGCTTAAAAAGCTTTCAAACTCCCGCTTCTATTTTTCTCAATAGGAAAGCTTCGTAAAAGATTTACCAACCTCTTTATTATTTGTTTGCTACTCAAAAAGTCCTTTGTCACCTAAAGTTTGCACTCGCAAGGATGTTTCGTCTGTCGTTTGTATTTTTCAAGTAAGCTACATCGGACGCAAGCTTTTACTGACCTCCTTTATTCGGCTTCTTTCAAACGCACAACCGACGTTTTGAGAATTCTACGGTGAACCGTACGCGCATGATTTGAACGCATGTGATATTTTCGTAATGTTACCCGTTGTCAAGTGTGTTGCTAACGCTGAGGGTAATATTACGGATTGTTAAATGTGTCTAAACCAATCAGATTTTAGTATTTAACATGAAAGTATAATAAATATCCTTAAATTCCAGTAGTATAATAAAGAGGTCGATCACTATCTCTAATCTTCACTTTTCTCACAAAATACGTCCCAACGATATATTTTAATTACAAACAATGCCTTTATAACGACCGTCGAATTTGCGAAAAGCTGGCTTTATTCGGGGTTGTATAATTTGATGAACGTATTTCACATTTCCATTACTTTTTACATTGTGTAATTAGATGAATGTAATTTATATTTCCCCTACGTTTAACATTACGTAATTGAAATAATGTATTTTATATTCCCCTACGTTTTAACAGGCATTCTCTGTAAGCACCAAAAAATCTTGGAAACGACATGTTTCGAATTTTGATGAAATTTGCACCACAGATGTGTCTTGGTACAAAACTAGCAAATATGGTGTCGGAAGTTCCACACGTGCACTTGGTTGCCATGGAGACGGATCCATTGAATTTGGCCATTTTTGGCCCTTTTTGACCAAATGAAAACATGAGAATTAAGGAAATGTAAACGGATATTTATCGGTATCTACTACACTCAAACTAAAATCATTGGATCAAATGACAACTTGAACTTTTAAGGTACACAAGGCATATAATCATTTATTCTAGAAATATTCCCAATCTAATAAAAAGGTTATGCAAATAGACATGGTTTCTGAAAATTTGAAAAATGGGGAATTTAGCATTTTTGGAGATCTTTAAGGCTAAATAAGAAAAATTGTCAGTGGAAAATTTCCAAATCTTATGTGTGTTTTTATACTTGAGAATTAGTAGTGTCATCTCATGAAAAAATATCGGTGGGCATTTACTCCTATTTTTAGTAACATGTATCTATAAATAGATATATTTTAGAAAAATGTAAAAAATCAAATTTTGGCAAAGTTTTAGATGTCAATGGTGGATAATTAGGAAGTGTATTGTAAATATTAAGATGTTAATGACAGTAGCTAGACACCACTAGCTGGAGTGGACAATGCTTGAGGGGGATTCCCATTTCTATTTATAGTATCAAACACCTAAATATAGACATGTCTCTGAATATTAAGAAAAATGACAGTTTTATGATAATTGGAAGCTTCATAGAAAAAGTCTTAACAAATATTAAGCTTTCTACAATATGCCTTCAAAAAGAACATGTGTTTGTACAATAATTGATACAATATTGAGGATCGAATCTTGTTTCTTTTTATAGCAACAATGGTCTAAAAATAGATTCCTCGAATTATCGAGAAAATGTAGATTCTTGCACTTTTTCAGGCAATGATGGATGGAAAGAATGCAGACTAACTGTTATAAACCTAGTGTGATTGACAAGTACTAGAAACCATTTACAGAAATATACACTATCTGAAGGGGGTTCCCTTTTCTATTTATAGCACAAACACCCATAATAAGAAACATCTCAGCATATGAGGAAAAATGACAATTTTCAACCAGTTGTAAGCTACATTGAAATTTTTTTTTACAAAATATACTGCTGTCTACAATATGTCATGAACAAAAACATTTGGGCAATTAATAATTGACACAATACTGAAGATTGACTTTCTTTTCTTTTTATAGCGACCGTTGTCTAAAAATAGATCAGTGGCGGATTTAAGGGGGGGCGCACCCGGTGCGCGCCCTCCCCCCCCCCCCCCTAAAATTGTCAAAGTTAGCATAAATCATAGTTTCGTCGAGAAAATGTAAAAATGTCCACTCGGTAGACCTCATTTTTACCCTACAAAATCTCTAGAATCCAGGAGCTTCCGGGGGCTTCGCCCCCTGGGCCCCCACCAGGGCTTCGCCCTGGACCCACTGGGGGCCTCAAGGCGGCCCCCAAGATCTCTTATCTACTTTTGGCGCCCCCTCTAACTTCAATTCCTGGATCCGCGCCTGTAGATGCAGTGAGTTATTTGGAAAATAGAGATTCTTGCACTATTTTAGACATTATGGATTGAAAATTTGAATACTCCCTATTATAAACATTATGTGATTGACAAGTACTAGAAACCAATGACTGAAATGCAGAATGTTTTAAGGGGATTCCCATTTCTTTTTTTAGCACCAAAAAAAAAAAAAAAAAAAAAAAAACGTAGATACGTCTTAGTAGGTAAAATGAGGTTAAATAAAAATTTTCCACATACTGGAAGCTTCATTAAAATTTTTACAAACATATTGCTATCTACAATATTTCAACAACAGGAACAGTTGTTTAGACAGCACTTTACATATTAATGAACGTAGGCTCACAATTCTTTTTTAGCAACAGTTTCTAAAAATAGATGCTGTATTATGTAAATTTGCACTATTTGAGATATCATGGATGGAAAATTTCCAGACTAACTGAATAGTGAAAACGAAATGAAATATGGAGATAACGAACAGCATTCAAGCTCAAAATCCATTTAGACAATACAAATTGGGAGCAGAGCAAATACAGACCTCCAAAAACATCAGAGGTGGGATCAGAAGCCATGGAGGAGTGAGCATCTCCTGCTGATCGAAAAACCCCCAGGAAATATCCGTAGACAATTCAGTGTGTAAATAATGGCCTAACAATTAGTATGAAAAACATCAGTCAGCATTTGACTTAATGATAGGTTGTATTTGCTGACAAGGTCATTGTATCGACCATAAAACTTGCGAAATGATGACTTCAAACGAGACTGTTGATATCCTTGTTTCATCAACTTGTTTGTCAATAGCTTGCCTCGTTTTAGAAATTGTTCATAAGTAGAGCATGTTCTTGCATATCGAAGCAAATGGGAGACATAAACCCCATATGCAGGTGATAAGGGTATATTACTACATAAGTAAGGGAAGTTGACGATTGAAAAATTGAAGTCATCACGTTTATCATAAAGCTTTGTTGTTATGTCACCATTAAAGTCTTTTTCTAGTAAATTATCCATAATGTGACTGACAAGTACATGTGCTAGTTACCATTAAGTGACAAGCACAAAAAACAATGAGGACTTCCAGTTCCATTTATAACTGAAATACACAAAATCAGTGAGGATTTCCATTTCTATTTATAGCAACAAAATTATACAAGAGACCAGAGGGTTTCAACAGTCATCTGAGAATAACCCTGTAACGGATCAATGAAATGACAATTAAACAAGAGAGTCGAGGGCCTAGGATCACTCTTCTGAATCTTATATATTTAGATTAAGCCTTGAAATCCCAAACGTAGCTGTGTTACCTACTTTTTGGATAAACTCTGTGAATGCAATGATTGTAAGCCTCTTATATTTTAAAATATTCAGATATTGCCTTAAAAATCCTATTTTTGTCCACACATTTCGATGACCCAAGATGCTTTATCTGACAAAGTTTGACGACTCTAAGCCTCTCAGTATCAGAAATATTTAGATATAGCTGTGAAATTCCAAAATTAAGTCACTTTAACATACCTTTAGGTTAACATAGTCCGTGATCCCAAGATGCATCAAATGAGAACGTTTGATGATTATTAGCCTCTTACTCTCTCAAATATTTAGATATTCCCTTAAAAATCCAAATGACCTAGTTTGGTTTGATACATCCAGAGGACCCAAGATGCATCATGTGACGAAGTTTAATGAATCTAAGCCAATTACTATCTGAAATATTTCAATATCATCATGAAATTCAAAAGGTAGATCACGGTGATCTACCTTTTAGTTGATACATTCCGAGGGCTCAAGATACATCAACTTACAATGTTTGATGATTCTAGGTTTCAAAGTGTACAAAATATTCCTCTAAAATCATCTGAAATTAAATACTGGCAAAATTCAAATGCATCAACTTACAAGGTTTTATGAGTCTAAACCTCTCAGTAGCTAAAATAATGACAATAATTTTTGTGAAGAAAAGGTCATCGTG